TGTCTTCTGTACTACTTAACAAGCAGAGATTGATCATTGTGAGTCACAAAGTCTCTCAATTGTGTCTGATATTGTGCATGCATTTGCATCGATTTTGCTTACTCTTGTAATTTTTCCTCGCCAACATCTGTGCCTTGTGTCTGCATGCAGTGATAGCACTGTTGATAGTCCCTCCCCACCTTGCTGCAGTGGTGACCACCAAGCTATCTGGAACTGGGTCTGTACTGAATGTAGTTTCAAGGTTGACTGCTATGATGGCATCTAAAACTTCATCTTCAACGGGAAACTTTGTCTACTTTAAAAATCTCTCCTTAACATACATAACCAGATTATTCTTCATATACAATGCTGATTTATATGTTTTGAATTTKCCCAATCACTGCATCTTCTTGATACCCATCTACTTTGTTTGTCTCATCAACCATCCTTTGTTCTGTTATACTTGGTCTGATAGATATATCAGCTCCTACAGCTTGAACTGTAGCAAAAGGATGCGTTTTGATCAGCATTTCTCTCTGTTATCAAATGTTGCCAATAAAACAAGCTTTTCACCTTCCATGTTCCAACAACTTAGTACTGTTATAGTAATATCTACCTATGATGTTTGTTCATGTGTCTGATGTAGTAACTCTTTGGTTATTTACAACTTTATGGCAATTTTTTCCTGTGATGTTTATTTTGTTTTCTGACTTTGCGCCAGCAAATCTTAGGCGCTTGTTGTTGCCCGCCACATAWTTTCCCTAGCCTTGGTATAAATATCAGTTTTGGGTCCAAAATTTTCTTGCGCAGCTCTTGTAAGATTTCTTACAGCTATGTACTACATCCAGTATGTCAATACTGGGTTAATTTAGAATGCATGTAATCATTGATCTGGTAGTTGATCCCCATCCACAATGGTGGATATCCTTCACTGTATCAATTTGTCATGGGTTGGCCAAATAAGGTCATTGGACTATGGACAATGCATAAATAAGTTTCCCCTTGTCATATCCAAAAAGGCTGCCTTTTTATTTTGTGGTCTCCACTTGATATTTCCAAGTAATGGGCCATCCACCCAGCAAGGTCTGTTGGTGTAAAGTAGATTTGGTGGATATCCTTGGGTGCACCACATTATCATAAGTTGGTCAACTAAAGACACTGGACTGCTTAGAATGAACAAAAAAGTTCCCCTTGTCATATCCAAAAAGGTTGGCTTGTTATGTTGTGTTCTCCATTCAATATTTCCAAGCAATGGACCATCCAACCTTGTTGGTCTGTTGGTGTAAACTAGATTTGGTGGATATCCTTCACTGCATCACATCATCATGAATACACTTGACTAGTACATACAATGAATAAAAGACATCCCCCTTGTCATATCTCAAAATGATGATATAACTTTTCTATTGTGTTACCACATGATAGTAAAAAAAAGAAACAGCTAATTATTACCCTGAAGGCTTTAAACCTATAAAATTTATTTCCGTAAAAAAAGCTCACACCAGATGGAGTCAAAGGATTGTCTCCTTACCAAATAATGGACTTTCCTGTACTCTACTAGTCTCTGTGATACAAGACTGTAGTGATTAGTTAGTAGAAGACAGTCTTTCAAAATATTTATACATGGCTGTCTGGCGCTGTGGGTTTAAAAATGCTTCAGATGCACTGCGKAAGTGCACATACAAAATTTGAGTGAGTCATAATATCACCTTCCTATCCATGCAATGAGCTCTTGAGTATCATGCCAGTCTCTGAGATACATGACTGTGGTAGTTGCTTGATGGACATTTGTCCTTCTAAATATTTATACACGGTTGCGTTTTTGCTCTAAATATTTAAACACGGTTCGGTTGCGGTTGCTTGACTGACATGCATTGTGGATTTAAATTTGAATTCAAATGTACCTTCAGACCAGTCTCCACACAAATCCAGAATGGCATTCTGGTTGTTGATCCAATTATGGCGCCGGCTACTGACATACCTTTGGAAGTACATATCCTCATTGCTCAGAAACATCATGGCCATAAGGTTTTACAAATCATGAAGGGGTGTGGACTAAGATAAACTATAGAAGCAGGGTTGGGTGATTCAACAATGTTGAGGCCAGATTGGTGTGGCTGAGGGCTGTCAAATTTGTAAACATCATTGTCAAAAACACATGTACACTTGATGGTCTGAATAACAGGTACAGAAGGGCACTGGGGATCATTCCCGGGTATATGTTGTGWKGTTACCCAGAATTGAACAATGTAGAAGGAAGGGAGTTGTACAACAAGATTGGGTTAGAACCTCTGGCAGATGAAACAAAAGGACATGAAAAATCCAGCTGCAACAGGATTCCTGTTTGAAACAAGGAGTGGGTTCCATTGACACCGCCAGCCAAACTTCAGATAAATTGGTGTTTTTGGCTTCACATGCAGTGTGCTAATTGTGGTGTTCCAGTTCAACCAACAGAAATAAGCTTTGACCAATGGACTGCACTGTCCAACAAGAATCTTTACCACAGAAAATGTACACATTGGGAAGGTTCATGGTTTTGACCCAGCATTTCAGAGTTGAGGAGTGCAGAGGATAACGAATGTTGGGATTTTGGTAGTTATATGACATGGGACATTAAGGGATGGAAGGGAATGAAGGAAGATCAATTGTGGAGAGTGATGAAAGGAATAGATTGTCTCTACAAATGCAAGGTAGGTACCCATTCCCCGTGGTTTTGGGAGGAGGAGTTTGGTTGATACCAAAAACAGAAAGAAGCAAGGGACGTTAGCAACAACGGACTTAGTTTGGAGAGTGAACGCAACATTCTTGTATGGGAAGCTTTCATGACAAAAACTAGGTGCTTGTCAAAAAGGAAGCAGATTTTATTGTACGGATCATTAATGATGGATGAAACATGGGAAGAAACAAGTGAGGATTACAACAAGGACAAAGTCATCAAAGAAGCAATTCAATCTCTGATGACTGACAGCACCTCAGTTTGTTTATCGTAAACTATAACACTATACTAGTGTCTTAAATTCCTCGTTACATATTCATATTCTGATTGACTGCTAATAGTTTGATCATTTGATTGCAGGAACGCCATTCTGCGATCAGGAAGAAACTGGAAATTCCCTTTTTGGGCAAAAAATGGAGTTGTGAACGCAGTGAATTTTAGGGAACACGAAAACTGTGCGATACTATGTAATCACTTGGACCAATTCCTGGAACGCCATTCCAGGAAAAATTGAGAAAAAGAAATGCAAAAAGTGTTCTGGATTTGAAGAGAAGAAGCAAAAAACGATCTTTTCAGGCTCAGTATCCTAAATTCCAGACAATATTGTATTGAAATTGGTAAGTCATTTGCCCCTGTTCCAAATGACAAAATATTCATTGGTTGTTCCTTTGTTTAAAACAACAGCAACCTCCAAATAAATGCTGGAACATGGAAATAGATATAAATGACCACTTAAAGTGCCCTTCCTTAYGAAACCAATGGGTGAGCCATTAGCTCCAGAACTGCGGCTGGTGATAGGTTCTTCATCCTGAAAACAGTGGACAACTGTGTAATACCCTGGATCGTGAAGGTGAACTCCACTGACTGATATATTGCCTATTGGTCACTTGATGTCAAGAAAACAAAGTATCTGGCAAGGATACTGCTTCAGAACTGGATGTCCCTTGTCATCCATGGAATACACTCCCCTTTTGTTCTTGGGGAGGTGCAATAAAAAGTAAGCCCAATTGAACCATATGTTGCACTGTTGTCCACTTTCTGATTTATACAAGGGGTGTGCCCAAAAGAGAAGCTTTTTTCTACTTCATGTGTTGGTTCTCTTGTGCTCCATGAACCTAGATAAAACRTGAGTTTCCATGGCTGGGAGAACATRATTGCAGCAGAAATCAATGGCATCAGAAGGCATACATGGGAAGCTTTTGTCTCYGTTATCTTTTGCCTCCCATTTCATAAGGGGTAAACCAGTTTTATCACATTTGCCAATGGAAAATAGAGAGCCACATTTAGGTTTTGGAATACAGAGTATTGGTGCATGTCAAACTTGCGATGGAGTCTATCTATCACGCGGTACTTGATGTGCCATTTTGCAGTTTGCTTGATAAGTGAACTGGATACTCAAGATGTTATCTTTGCTAGAGCTTTAACTTCTGTCTTGTGGTTTCTTTTGCTCCAAGAAGAATCCAATCCAGATGGAGGTCCAAAAAGCCAGATATATTGCGAAAGGTGAAAGTACATGTGATTCTTTATAATATTGTTAACTTTGTTCCTGTCAATGTGATTGTTGATGTTGTTGATAAAATGAATAACCATCTTATCAAGGTTGGTTGCACTAATTTGGGTTTGCAGAAAACATCATCATCGAGATCAGAATCAACAGATTCTATTGCAGACTCTTTTAACACACAATCAACTTCTTCAACTAAAGGGTTATACATAACTTGGTCATCAAGATTTTGTGGCATGCCACTAGATGGACTGTCTTGGGAATTAGTTAGAGCAAACCACTGGCTAACACCAACCTTATCTCTCAAAGCTTTGAACAAAGACAAACTAAAGTCATGGGTCCCATCACCAACATAACTAAAATATTGGAAGCAATCTTTGCTGAGACTAAGATGAGTGGTGAGTAGTTTTGTTGACRTGATGAAGCCTGATTTTTTGTCTYGTTTGGCACTGTAAACTATGCRAAGCTGATTTTTCCGATCTCTTGAGCTGTGACAACTTTGACAGAATACCTTTAGCTTAGGGGGGGCATGATAAAGGGCAGAGTTTAATCAACAGAGTAAGTTCCATCCGGTGAGGGATTAGTTTTTTTCATGATTTCAGCATTGACCTACTATGATAATTCAAAGTAMAATAATATTTGTTTCGGAAACATCATGTTCTGGGGATACTGAGTTGTGAAGGATTTTTCCATTTTTTTGTCCAATCAGGAAAAACTAAGGGTGGACATTGAAACTTCGATGGTATCAACCACGTGAAACATGCAATACTACAGATCCAGTTTGTGTGATGTACTACTACTAATAGTACTAGTAATAGTAGTATTAGTACTACTACTACTACTAATCTGTTTCTTCTCCTCCTTTGCAATGAGCGCCCATCAGGGCAATTGGGAGCATTGTTCCTTCCAGAGCAATTCTTCTGCCTTTCTACACTTTCCCATTGCTTATTCCACTGGTAGTACTTCATGAGGCTAAAAAATATTAGTAGTAGAAGTATTATTTTTTACTTCGTATTTTGTAGTAGTACTCGTACTAATAGTTTTTTCTGTACTTCGTTTTCAGGTTCGCGTTTTTGTTGTCTGTCCACTATCCGTTAGTGCCTTCGGCCATCGCTGCTGTGAAAACGGGTTACTGTATTCATTGGGTCATTCCCATTATTCTAAATCTCTAAAACTCTAATCTAGAGATCTAGAGTAACAGGAATCAAGACATTCAATGGACAGACTGAGAGGATGCCAGCTCGATGCCAGTCTTTTCCGCAATTTGGAATCTTAACTATACTCTAAAAATAGGCGCRCGTGCTGACTAAAAAGAGGCACAAATTTTCGATACGTGTGTTAAAGGGACGACTGGAAAATAATTTATTCGTGGGTTCCACTCTAAATCTAGAGATTTAGGACCRGTCAAAGCGACCGGTCCTAAATGTGCTAAATCTAGAGTCAAAAACTCTAAATTCTGATGGACTGACAGACCAAAAATTTAGAGATCTAGAATAACGGGAATCACCCATTCATTTTCGAACAGTCAGTCAGCTGTCAGATGCTTTCTACCTTCGAAGAAACTCGAGAGCAGTTACCCCCCAACCGCACAAGAACGGCAAGAATCTGAATCTTCTGAATACTGAACCAGCAAACGGGTTTCTCACTATCTGTTTTACCTTTTTCCTTCCGTCGAGACATAGCACTGTCAAACCAAACAAACCCAATCTACCATGTTCCGAACACGCGTAAGTAAAGTACATGAGTAGGCCATGAATGCTCTGACTGTTCTTGCAACGTATTGTTATATGGAGAGGAGGACTGCATATCTTTATTCAGAATTTTTCATTTGGTATTCCCGCAATTCGTTGTTTCGTTTCTTTTACTTCCGTCTCTAACAATTCAGCTACGGCGACGTTTGTCTTTCGTTGCCTTGGTTCATCACGGCACCATATTCTCTGGTGTTCGCGTTTGTTGGAATCTTGTGATACTACAAACTCGAATCGAATGACTTCAAACCAAACCAAACAATCCGCTCGAAAATCTGGATCACTTCGACCGACCCACGAATACGGCGAAAAATATCGTTCTGAAACTCAATTCAATGCAATGATATCAAATGGAATGATRTTTCCCATATATAGGCCGTTTTTCGCCAGCTCAAGCCCCTCGCCGACCGCGTCTTAGTCAAGCGCGCCCCCAAGGAAACTCAGCTCGCTAGCGGTCTCTACCTCCCTACGGATTCCACGAAGGACCCTAACGAAGGGGAGGTCGTCGCCGTCGGACCCGGACAGGTTGACGTGACCGGAAATTTGCATGCTACCACGCTGGCACCTGGCGACAAGGTCTTGTTGCCCGAATACGGCGGAACCAAGATCACCCTGGGTGAAGACGAGGTATTTATGTTTCGCGAGTCGGACATTTTGGGAAAATTCGATTAGAAAACAAAACAGTAATATTATAAAGTAGAACTAAACGGAAACACAATGGAAAGAAAGAACGACAGGAAAACGATTGATCTAAATCGCATCAACCACTAACGAGGTACGCCAAGCCAAACAAACAAATRGCGCAGGGCTAACTCGCAACCATTTGAATGATTTAGACCGCGACATTTCATGGACGGGCAAAGTCGATTTGCGCCATTTGTGTTTTTATCAACGGTACTTGCTTGCTTGATTGAATAAGACCGATTGGCGCAGGTTGAGATGTATTGAGAACCATGCTACAGAGCRGCTGGTAATCACTTTGCAATTGTAGGCCTGACCGGAGACATCCACTCTAGTATCTTCTGCAGATATAAATTTCGCTTCAATCGTGAAGCAATCTTTGTTGTACTGTATTGTATCRAAATATTGTGTATTGTTATTACTTGTTATATTAGTTTACATTATTCGTTTATTCTTTCGGCAAGACTGTTTTTCTCCGTATGATATTGTGATGCCATACTGTACACCTCCTATCTGCCCCACGCCACTAGACTCAACTGCATTCACCGCACATTAACCTCCATCATCTCCATCACGAATTGAGGACATCGCAAGAAGCGACATCAGCACAGAAAGCCCAAAATAAAAGATAGCGAGAAGCCAAGAAACATCACCACAAGAAACCAACCATTCTTCTTGATGCACACATATAAACATACGCAAAGTGCTTATTGAAAATGCTTTTGTTTTTGCTTTAGCTTCTTTCTTCTTCGTCTTTGTCGTATTATGTAATGGTTCCTATGGAAAAGTGACGTCGAATTAAGCGTAAAAGCAATCCACTTGGTACGCATCGATCGAAAATCTCTACGTGCCCATGCATTATTTCATTCAACCAGTCGTGGGCCTAGTTGGATGTGTTGTTGACTTGCTCTTCGTCGTTGTCACCCATTGTTTCCATTGGCGAAATCACTACGTCGTTTTTGAAATGCACGAGGAGCGCACTCATAAAGGCTAGGACGCCAAAGAGAACAAACCCAAGCGACGCAAAGACCTGGTTGGCCCTAGCGGATCCCTGCGTGTATTTGTGAAAGGAAGCGTACAGCAAAATATTTTGGTTCGCCAGGACCACAAGGACCCCCAGGAAGAAACCTACGCTAAAGGATGTGGGAAATCGTTTCAGGACAAAAGTTCCGAGGACTCCCAGGGCAAGGTGTATCAATCCCGTCCAAACGACAGCGATAACCAACGCGATCGAAGCATCTCCGGATTGGTGCAGACTGACCACTGCGTTTTGTTGTGTTCATTATTTTTGGTTGTTGTTTGTTTGTTTGTGTGATTGTCGAATGTATGTTTCATTTTGGAACAGTGAAATTTTGCACATTCCAACAGGGAAACGGCAGGATCGAATTGCATCATTTTGGAAAAAGCCCAATATTGGGAAAAAAATACGTAAGCCATCTTGGAACAAATCCAACCACCGAAAAGACCCTTTCCTACTCAGCTAGCGTCGTTAGAAATAACCRACTTACTTTCGAAAATAGACAGTGAAAAATAGACGACCACAAACAACAAACTAATACCCCAGGCTCGGTGGACCGACCCTCTCGGGTCTGGTGCGCACGAGGCAAACATCTTGTTGAATAGTCCGTTCTTGGCGGTTTCGATGTGGCTTGCCGAAGTCGCCATCTGTTGCTGTTGTTCAGTCATGATAATAGAAAGTGCAGCGATCAGTTCCAAATCTTTTTGTCAAGAAATTATTATGCCAGAACGACGCTGTCCTTTCTTTTTTGACAGGAAGGGAAAAAGTTGTGAAGTGGAGAGGTATTTAGGTAGGTAGGTAGCCAGTCAATCGACCTCGATTGTCAAAAAATCAATTCCTACGATGTTATACACTGTGCGAGTCAGCTTTTGCTCTGTGTCTTGGTTGTCGTCGATCTTGCCGGACGTAGCGACTGCCTGTGTGCGATTATATTTCTCAATGGTGGTAGGAGTTCTCGTACTCCTGGTTTATCGTTACAACGACGAAACGTGTATTGTGTGTGGGAAGCAAAGACGGTGGTATCGCTACCGGTAAAAGTGCTGAAGCGACTTGTAAAATTGCTGTGCAGCGCAGAGCGGCGCCCGCTCTTTCTTGTAGTGCTCGTACTGTTTGGTAGTATCTGAACGTTTGTTTTCAACAGAAATGACGACGCGGTTCGTCCAACGGTACGGGTAGCTACTGCTAGTAGCAGTAGTATCTTACGCCACTCATGCATTCAGTTCACTCCGATGGGAATGCAGCATGGTTCCAAAGTGGGAAGGGAAAAGCACACGCGCCTCGCGTGAACAGGACCGAGCGAGTCCTGCTTGGAGATCCAATCCCTCCATTCTGCTCGGCAAGCCAGCCAGCCGGCGCCGCCAAAACTTAAGAATTTCTCGATCAAAACAAACTAGCAATACTGATCCGATACGATCCACATGTATTTTTCATACGGTATGTATCGAATATCGAAAAATAAATCGAACCTGTCAGTCGAGTTCTTCTTAGAACCAAAGCCAACCAGAAAGGAGGATAGCGGTAAGAACTGATGAGCAATGCACTCGAGCTGGAATGACTGCATAGGAGCCAAATTGCCTCCAATGATTCAAATGTGAAATAAAGAGTGAGGTTATTCACTAACTATTCGTGATTGTGATGTTAATGTCTCACATCAAAAAACAAACGCCAATGTACCGGTACCTGGTGTTGTATCGACGCATCAAATGCCGTATGTCCACGTCATTAAATGTACGAAATCTTAAAGAGAATGTGTAAAAGTTTCCTATTGATTAGATAAATTAAAAAGTATGAGATCAAACCAGAAAACCCTTGGGTTTCTGATTCTTCACACTCTGTATGTGAGGTTTTACCTCTTTTTATGTATTTCGTGTATTTTGATATTGGTGGATGTCCGTGCGAACGTCTGTCCTCCAACACACTCCTCGTTGCGGTTTTATGCGGGTAGGTTCCCCTACAGGCTCCTCCTGTAGAAAACACTACTGCGTATTGCCGCAGTGCACTACTTGTCAGCGTGTACGCTAAGCAATGCTATTAGTCAGCATAGTCTTGGATCGTATCAGTATTCATCGATACTTCCATATGAAGATGATTGTACCGCTTCGATCTATTGACTGGCGACTTTTGCTGCCTCCTTGGCAGCGTAGTAATCCTGCTTGTATTTGATGCAATCGGCGTCGCTAATCCCTTGGATGGTGTTCCTGAATTTGCGAAATTTACTTCCTTGCAGCGGCTTCGTGAAATAATCAGCAATTATGTCTTCCGTGGGACAGTATTCGATACTCACTTCCCCTTTCTTGACACGGTCTGTCACAAAGAAGTATCTGATGTTTATGTGCTTGGTCCTCTTAGTACTGGACTTCTGCCCATTCTTCTCCAGTCTTATGGCGCTTTCATTGTCCTGGTAAACAACTACATTATGGTCTCCCAGGCTGGGGCTGCTCGGTTGATCATCCCTATTGTCGGCAATATTGTCGGTCATGTGTTGCCGCTGGGCTTGTAGGAAATATCTGGCCCACAGTATGAAGGTCATGTTATCATCCACTCCCACTATCTCAGCTTCAGTTGAGCTCTTCGTGTTGAGCTTCTGTTTCGTGCACGTTGTGATCGCTGCACCCTTTCCGAATGTCATTACCCCTCCGGAATGACTTCGCATGTCATTGTGTACTGCAAAGGCTGCATCTACATGCCAATACACATTGCCGCTTCCATCCCATCCTAACACGAGAGGGATATATGGTGTCTCAGTCAGGTAGCTCATCACACGCTTCAACTTCTTCCAGTCATCCACATCAGGTGCAGACACCCGTGTACATAGGAATGCAACAGCTGTCTGTATATCCGGTCGGGTTCTCTTTGCCATGAAAAGCAGCTTGGCCACGTAGTGGTGAAACTTATCCGCTTCCTCCTCGCTCAGTTTTCGAGATTCATCACTTATTTTGAACAGGTGGTCGGCCGCTGGTGTGACTGCTGTTCCCTGCAGGCTATCAGGGAGGTTCTGGATTATCTCTTCCAGATAGTCAAACATGCTGAGCTTGACCTTCCCATGCTCGGAATAATCGATTGTCATACCCACGTAGTCATGTATCTTCCCGCGTGTCTCCGTTAGCGGTGATTCCTTACCAAACTCTTCATTTAGTTGCTTTATCACGGCTGTCACCACATCAGCATCTACATGTGATATTTTGAGATCATCGACGTGCCACACGATAGTACACTGCTTACCATTAATCACCTTATTCACGGTGCATGGGTCATATGGGTTGAGTTCAAAGCCCCACTCCTCGAGCTGTCCGTACAACTTCTCCCAAAATAGCAGTGCAGCTCTCAGGGTTCCGTATATAGCCTTTTCAGCCTTTGTGAACAAGGTCTTCTTCCCATTCCGGTTCACCAAGTACTTCCGATACATCTTTGGGTTCACTCTGCAAAGCAGCTCTGCCATGGTTCCATCAAGCCTGATGTAGACATTTTCACCCTCAGGCATTGGTGTTTGTAGGAAAGCTCCGGGGATATCCACTGTCGCCACATCCCTGCATTCAATGGCATCGATGATGCATGACAGTACTAGTGCATACAGTGACACTGTCGGTGAAGCCGCATCTTCTTTCCGGATATATTCCCTTTGTCGTCTTCCATCTGCACACCCCCTTCCCTTGATTGAGGTGTCCCTTTTTCTTTTAAGGAACATGAGATACGGCAATGCCTGTGTAACCATCTCTCTTGTCATATGCTTGGGGTCCAAGGCTGATACCACTCCTCGGTCATGTAGCTGTTTGAGCTCTTTCAAGACTGCTGCCACTCCTGCATCTCCGAAACGCTTAATCCCTTCCTTTACACCATACTGCTTCGTGGCATGGGTTGCCTCCAGATTGTTGTAATTTGCGATTGCATTGGCCACGAGCATCACGCACTCCTCTTGCTCACTGAGCCGCTGTACGGCATGCACATATCCGGCGGTGAAAAAGGATCTTGTGTGTGTTGTACTCACAAAGCCCTCACCCTCCCCGTATTTGTTGTGGGTCCTGGTGGTGCGTCTTCTGAGGCGTGAGCTAACTGGCTCTGTAGGTTCCGCTGGTTCTTTGGTCCCTTCATTGTCCTCTGGCTCTTCATCGTCTTCCTCCGCATCCGCATCTTCTGCTCCATCCTCGGCGTTCGCAGGTTGCTCAGTGGGCTCATCATTACCCTTTTCCTGGACCGGCGGCTCCTCAACATCATCTCGCACATCGTCACGGACATCCGCATCCACGTAGTCACTCAGTGCCGTCTCTACGGATGCATCATCCTCATCATGGTTGGTGTATGTTACATCGGATGCATCATCATCATCAGGGTTCGGTTCATCATCCAGATCCAAGATGGTTGTATTCCCATTGCCATCTCCAAAGATCACTCCTTGAGGCATCTTCTGTGCTTCAGCAATCCGTGTTACCTGTTGTATGATTGTCTTTGTGAGTGGCGTTGCTGTTGCAGACTTTCGGTGTATCCGTTTGCAGGTGTTGATGTCAAAAGCATAGAATCCCCCTGTAACAGACCCTGTGGGCCGTAAATAGAGGGCATCTACTGCCCGAGCTCTCATGGTGTTATCCGTATCATCTATATGTGCCAGGATTGGTTCCATGAATTGGAATCTACAGTCATCATTTGCATTGAGACAGACTCCTGTCATGATTTCCCTAATTGACTTTGTCCTGTGGACGCCGGTTGTTCTGCAGTTAAGCCAGTATGTTGCGGCATATATCAGCTCTATCACACAGCGTTTTGGCAGTTTCTTGTAAGGTAAGTGGTGTACGTAGCATCTAACTGTTTCCTTCAATGTTCTGTTGCTGCGTTCAATGGTTGGCTCATGCTGTCCTGCTGCCACACAGTGCAAATCCACTGGTGGTGATAGTTTCAGTAGATCATCTCGCAGGCATTCAAACTGGTTGTCACAGCTGATCTGGGTTACGGTGAAGCCCCTTGCCTTGTACTGTCCCACCACACTTTCCACGCATTGCAACAGCGTGGATTGTCTCACATTGGTTATTGCTCTGGTAGTCCGGAATCGCAGGTGTCGCGAGATTGAGTGGAAGAAATGTATCCCATTCACTGTCATGACATCCACATGAATCATGACCTCACCATATCTCTGGAGCACTTCTGGTGGCACTGGTGATACATCCTCCCGGATGTGTTGCCCTTGCCTCCGCACAGTTTTCCCTTTCACAATGCTCACATGCTTCCCATATATGGCTTCAGCATTCATTATATCCCGGCGGGTGATCCCGCAATTGGTAATCAGTTTGTTTTCCACCATGCGTATCATGTCCCTTGTGGTTGGGAAGCCAATGATTTCCTGTAGTTTCCGTGCCTTGATTGCTCGACGACAGTCCAGATCAGAGAACTCAGTCTGCTTCCCCTCCACGGAGGTGATTGTTAGCACCCTTCCCTTGGTCTTGGTAAGATCGCAGTAGTAAAGGTTGCATTTTGATCTGCTGAACCGCCGGGTTCCTCCGTCTGGGCGATGCACATGTAACGCATTGTCGCATGCTGTATCCATCGTTACACGGAAGCGGTCAGATACCAGTGCCAGTGACAGTACATTCGCAATCCCATCCTTGTAGAACCACACCCTCCCGAAGCCCGGTAGGTCTCCAATCATGTTGGTGTGTGCCACCCCTGAGTTGCAGTATATATGCATCATCTGCCCGTGTGGGGCCTCCCTGATGTTCTTGAGCAAGTCCGGATTTGCTATGAGGTTGCATGATGATTCACTGTCTAGCAGTATCCAGTTCGGGTTCACTCCTCCAACAGTTTTACCCTCTGCTGTCCCGTTTAGTTGTGCAAACATCCTCTCCACTTGGTTACTGTATCGAAAAATGCTGACGGTTGCTTGAGCATTGCTGCCATTTGCACTCCTCAATTTCACCAGCTTGGTTCCATCCACTGTTTCCTTGTCCTCACTATCCGCAATGGTCCTGTTATCGGGGCGGTGGGGACTGGTTACTCTTCCCCATTGGAAGAAACAGTGTTCCTCGGTGTCTCCGAAATCCTCATCACATTCAACTGCTCGCATGAGTAGTTGATGGCTGGTTAATCCCACGTCCTCATTCTGTTCATCAGCGGCGGTGATGTCATTGTTGGGGGTTTCAACTGTACCTGTGGTTACAAAAGCTGTTGCTTCCTGTTGATTAGCTCGGACCGGTCCCTTGCCGCCGGCTCGGTTTCCTTTTCCGGCTGTGCCCTTTGGTCCGCCTTTTCTGCTCCCTTTGAATTGGTTGATCATCCGCAGGGCCTTTGTCGTTGTCGATGGGTAGTTGTTCATCCCTAGAGTGTATTGGTTCTCCAGTGTTTCCTTGAGGGTGCTGCTATCTTCATTGATCCCCTCTATTGCTAACACACCCAGCAGTTGTTGTTTTGCTGAGTTGTCGATCTGCGTTTTTATGGTATCATCATCCTGTAGCTTTCTGTACTGACTGTACGTCATCCCATCATACTTAGCGCCGTTTGATTCAAGCTCGTATTTAATCACGATTGGACACAGTAGGTCTGCTCCAATGGCCTCCAGTACATCATACGCTTGCTTGACTCCCTGTATGTAGGATACCCCTTCACTCAGGCGCTGGCGTGAACACACCAGCTTTCTGATGGCTCTAATGACATTGGTGAGTGGGTGTATCTTCGTCTTGTTTCCTTGGTAGCAAATGTCTCGCAGCAACTTGAGCAGCTCCACTGGACACTTTGCTGTATTAACTTCCTTCCACTTGCTTGATTCCTTGAGCTTTTCTTGCATCCCCTCGTCAACCTGTCCCAGGGCTACAGCGTACATCTTTTCCATGTCGTTTGTATATGCCGTAAACATCTTTGCCGACATCTTGACCTCCTCGTCATACATCCGCATGAGACTGGCTTTGATTGCTCCAACCTCCTTCCCATCTACTGTCCAGTCTGCCGGGTCCGGCTCCATGATCACGAAATCAAGCCTTCTAAGTCTTGTGAGCAGTTCGATAGAGGTACCAACCTTGGGCATGTATTTGGATCCTCCAAACGTCTGTAGTCGCTTCTGCAGTTCTGTGAATTGCGTTAGGCTCCCATTTTCCGTGAGAACGATCCCTTCCAAATCTCCTCGGTTGTATCCTGTGAACTTCTCTGTATTCTTTGTCTTTTGTGTTGAGTTATGTGTTGTTGTTAGTGTCTTTTGCTTCGGTAATCCGTATTCTTTTGATGAGGAATTTCCCTCGTATTTCACCTGTTGCTTTTCGGTGTTTCCACCGGAGTAGTCCTTTTTGTCCTCCCCAGTGTCCATCTTGTGTTCTTGGTCGACGTGTCGTCCCGTAGCGAGTTCTCCTTGGATAGCTCTATTATAATGTTGGACCCTTGAGTCCTTCCTATGCAGCTGCGATTGGTGCTTTTAACCGAGTGCAGTATACCGGTACTTTTTAATTTATGTTGTATCGACGCATCAAATGCCGTATGTCCACGTCATTAAATGTACGAAATCTTAAAGAGAATGTGTAAAAGTTTCCTATTGATTAGATAAATTAAAAAGTATGAGATCAAACCAGAAAACCCTTGGGTTTCTGATTCTTCACACTCTGTATGTGAGGTTTTACCTCTTTTTATGTATTTCGTGTATTTTGATATTGGTGGATGTCCGTGCGAACGTCTGTCCTCCAACACCTGGTACCGGTAGCTTTCACATTTTTTTAAAAAATAAGCAACAAATGGGTGGAAAATTTAAAATTTGGGTAGTTTTAAATCCCTTGCGTACGAAAGTAAGAAGTAGCCTCTCAAAAGATTATGTATTTCCAACTACAGGTGCTGTTTGGTGTACTTCCTGCAATAAACTGTAGGACTTCTATTAACCATTATGATTCTTACACACACGGTCGAGAAAGAAGAATAAGAAGCAATGTCTTTTAAAGGAAGATATGTTCATACTATTCAATTTTTAAGAATTCTTGGTATTTTCTTGCGGTAAATGTGGTCACAAGAATYATCAACAACTTCTCCTTTACCAGTACCCGTACTTGCTCCGTTGTTTCAAATTATAATTTCCTATTATTAATTTACTACTGTACTTTGTACTTAGTATTCTACATTGCACCTGCATGATAGTATTTTTGATGGCAAACGTTTTGGGATTTAGAAGCCAAATTCACATCTGCTATTGCTATTTGGAATAGTAGTCTCCTCCTTTATATGGTAAAAATTGCTTTTTGCAAGCTCGTCTATATCTATTGATTGAGTATCCTCAAGATCCAATCTCAAAAAAGTTTGTAGGAATAGCATTTCAATGCTGCAGTATCATATGTGTAGGGTTCGGCGGGGTTTGGTTGATGTGACTTTCGTCCAGTTTCCAGTGTCACGGTGAAATACCATGCCCGAGCCACCCGCCTTTGACCGTTGCCGTGCAGCTTCCAGATCAGCCTTCCACTTGTCACGGACAGCCTGTGAAGCAATCGGGGCGGTAGCAAAGAACGAGCGCATCGTCCGCTTTAGACCCATGTATCCACACAAAATGGGTTGTTTTCCCGGCCCTTGGCGAGAAGACATTGAAAGGGTTCGAACGGATCCCCGCATCCACTTTGGAAGATTCTTGTGCGCCAGACAAATTCCTCCGTTGGGACTTCCGTCGTCGCAGTGCCTCGAGTCCATCAATATCACCGTTCCATAGTCAGCCCCGTGGCGGATACAACGGCCGAGGGCCTAGTGATTGATAGAATAGCAGAATGACGCGGAATGCAAATTTGAGAAATGGGCCGAGAAACCAACAAAGGAAAACGGAAAAATCGATTTTAGGCTGAGCGATACAGAAAAAAATTGTATTGCACATACAMGGGTTTTTTACCCGAATCGAATTGAAGGACTTCAAACGAAATGCTGCAATACTTACCTGAGCAATGGCACGATGAGCCTGCTGCTTATAATACTCCTCACCTGGCAAGAGGCAGGTTTTGTGTCGGAGCTTCCGCTGCTCGTCGTTATAARCTTTCTTCGCCTTGATACGACGATCGATTAAGTTGGGCAACGGCATTCCAATACAAATGACAGCACGTGCGTAGTCGTCATTGAAACTGATGCCCTCGGACATTTTTCCACGAAAAACCGCCAGGAGGACACAGCTTCCAGTCTCTCGAATAGTGTCCTGAAAATCGTCACGGGCACTTTCGAAATCTTCCTGACTTCCGGTTGGCTCAACAACAATTTTTCCCTTGCTTCTAAGAATACGATTCCAGACTTGCGGGGAAGAAACCTGAAATCGGCTGTATCCAGTAGCATTCCAACACGAGACACATTTTTGGAGTAGGGAATATGAGGGGAAGAAGACCAAACACCCCCCTTTCGGAACACTCTCAATGACAGAGGCTATTGCATCGCCAAGCTTGGGGAAGAATGATGGAAACTTGTAGTTGCTATAAGATATTGTCATTCGTTCTCCGTCCGGAAAGTTTCCGATTGCCACAGCCAGTAGCTGTTTGGGAAGATTTACAACGTGGTTGGCTTCAAGCGGTTTTGGTGTCATCTGGAGACGGTTCGTATACAATTTCTTGATGCCCCCGTGGGTACTCTTAACAAGAGAATCCAAGAGAGCTTGCGATATTTCCGGAAGTTTGGCACCAGTGATTCTGCTTCGAATCGGTGGGGTAGAAAGGTGTGATAGATTCGACTTCGAAGAGGGTGATGTTAATAATGATGAGGTTGACTGATCTTTTCCGAAAAGATTCAACTCTGCGCACATGCTCGGTATGGGGGCGAGCGAACMACTGGCAAATACGACAGATCGGCACTCCTGCGAGATTTCCCTCATCAGCAACCCTGGAGACAACAGGCGGATGATCAAATGACATTCCCAGGGCGGTGTTGATCCATCACAATAATCCCCGTGCGCACGCCCGGCATTAGGACAACCAATGATGTTGCAATCATTAAGGAATGCATCTGGCCTTGTTGATGTCTTCGGGCTCATGAATGGAGCCCTGCGAGGTTTTTTCTTGAAGCGTCGACGAGGTGTATTTTGGTTATTGTCGTCCTCGAGACCAAAAGCATGGTCAAGGTTACCATTGGCTGGAAATGAGAATGGCATTAAAGGAGTAGAGGAGAATAAGAGTTAAGGACAATAAATCGGAAAACGGTGTAATGACAATGGGAACTATTCTGGCCATGAGGCCACTTCATATTTTGTAATGTATGCTACATACCTTGTACAATACAAGACATGTAATAATGCTCTGGATTCTCGGCAGCTAGAATGGGAAAAGAACGATTCAAGTAAAGCAAAAGAAAAAGTAAAATTAGGATCCGGACAGCGAAAGACAAACGAGTCGTTGCAAGTAAGAGCATTTCCGAATAATCATTTTGCACCAACGATCACTTACCAGTCAGCAATTTTGTTAGTAGTTGAATGAGATTATTAAGTATATTGGAGGTATCGCCTTGAGCAGTTCTATCTAGAATAGCTCCGTCACTCTCGGAATTGCCTCCAAATATGCTTTGTTCTAAGCTCAAGGCATACTCCAACAATCGTGAGCATTCTTTAATTGTGATACCAATTCGTGTGAGCAATGGCTGGCAGCCTACTGCAGCTCCTTTGATCCCGTAACCCGTCGGACCATCGTAGGTTAGTTCTACTTCGTGATTGTCTGGTGTATTGTGATATTTCTTATACTCGTCCTCTAGTTTTTGTTTGCTGGGACCGTTCTCGAATTTTTCGCGTAATCCTTTCAAATGAAAAATAATCTTTTCCACAAACAACAGCAAGTCATGGGCTATGATGGCAGTGTCAACGTTGATATCAGAGTTAATCAGTCCGGTATTCCCGGTACATACGGTGCGCCGTGCATAGGGCCCCAATGCAGAAGCTACTTGGAAGAGATCTATTTCCCCGTATTTTCCAGAACCACTTTCGCATAACGTTGATTCGACATTGTGTGCTTCGTCAAGGACAAGAACTGTATTTCTGAGACTAATATTCAAACTCCGACGGATACTGGGATCGAGGATGTAATTGTAGGGTGAAAATGTTATTTCGGCGTGCTTGTGCAGAGTTCGAGATATGTAATACGGACAAACTGAATGGTCGGAATAGATATCGTTCTCCTGCATCCCAGATCTTGCTCCCAATTCTTGTCCATTTGGATCTTCCTGTGTTTCGGCTTCTTGTTGAGCATCCAGAATTTCTGGAGTATCCGCATCGTCCCGAAGGACGTCCAGGCGGGCGGGCTGGTCCTTCGGCGTACGCGCCAGCAACTCGACAACCCTTCTTTTATTCCAGGTACGGACGTCTTTTCCGTTAACCTTTAAGAGGCGATCCCCGTTCCTCAGCCGCGCCTCGAATGCGGCCGCGCCACCCTCTACAAGGGATACGACGTAGCAACCCCTTACTTCTTCCCCTGATTGAGGGTTTGTATTGTTGTTAATCAAAAAGCCAAACTTCCCCGTTTCTCCTCGGTATATTGCAATGTTTTCTTCCTTATGCGGATTTTTCCCAAACCGGACCAGGTCTTCCACATCATGGATTCCAAAGGCAGATTCCTCCCCTCCTACGGTACTACTGCAACCGCAGCCGTCAATAGCAGTAGAAGAATCTTTGTGTTGTTGAATTCGGTGACCCCCAATAAACTGCCGAACCACTTTGTGCGCGGTCCGATTTGAGGTGAGCTGGCGGTAATGTGGGCATGTGAGCTTGGGTTTCTGGGGCCGACCAACGTTGCTGCTGTCGTGCTCGTCATCGTTGTCGTTTGGTAGATCGGAGGGATCACCATCTCCGTTGTGCTGTGGTGGCTTTGGATCGTCGTCGTCATAATATTTATCATGCTTTATCCGAAGCCTACGTTCGGCGTCGGTGTTCTTCCTGCGGTCTTTGCAAGCCATGTTGATGGGTAGCTTGTTAGTGCTCCGATTCATGACTTCCTTGTGGATGCAGAGACGTTCACGGCTGCCTAGAATGGTCATTTTTGGTCGATACGGGGTCTTTTTGAGGCTGGCGACCATCTGGGAGACCTGAGAGTGGGTTCGGGAGAGATAAATGATCCTTGGTGTTCCTTCTTCCTCTTCCTCTTCCATTGAAACTGGGTCTGTTACCACCTTGCTACCGCCGTCAATGGCGGTGGTGGTTTGGATATGGTAGCGCTGCCATGCCAGCACGGAGCACAAAATTGCCACAGATTTCCCTGTGCCTGTGGGGCTTTCTAATACCACGTGCAGTTTTCGTTTCAGGGCCTTGATTATGTGGATAGCCATCTGTCGCTGGGGGGTCATGATTTCAGGAAACGGCCAACCGATTTTGATGCCCTCGACAAAAAAAGCCGTGTGMAATCCCAGCTGCGGAATGTCTCCCTCCATGTCGTTCTTCTGAACGATTCCAACTTTCGACGCGGTGGCGGGAGCAGCGGTAGCAGCAGCTCCTTGTGAGTAATTATTGGCTGTGTTCTTTTCTACACTGCTATTTTCACGACCACCCTCGGACAACTTAAGCTCTACTCTCTGATTCGAGTGTTGCTCTGCTAGCTGGAGTGTGCGACTTATTTTCAAGGCCAATACATCGGCGATGCACATATTGCGAGTATCAGTCTCTTCGTGCCGCTCCTGTCTCGCGCGATCTTCCTCCCGTTGCCTCTCCCACATGGACATTGGTTGTTCTTGCTCTTCGTGCAGTAAATGCTGCTGCTGTTCGGGCATTGCTCGACCTTGTGCTTGGAGATGGTAATTTCGTGCCGTAGCGGTCGGCGATTCGAGGAGCGTGTCGTCCGCTGGATTATTGTCACAGTCGTTTTCGCCACCATAGCCGTCCTCGTTTTCACTATCATCCCTCGGCCGCTGCGTCAGCGAGCAATGATCCTTCCAGTACGTGCACTCGCTGGCGGGGATATCGCACACGACGCAGTAGCATTTCCGACAGAATTTCTGGGGGTCCGCTTGGAAGTCGTGTAATCCACAATCCGTGCGTTTGTGGGGGTATTGAATGTTCGGATTAATTGTTGTGGACGAGACAATCTGGATTTCGTCTTCGTTGTCGTCATCTCCATTCGATTCGTTTGTTGTACAATTTTCAAGCAAGGATCCCGGTGGTGGAGGAGCAACGATGCAGACTTCGGAATGATCCTCGAGTGGACCGGGCGAAGACGATCTGGACGTGGCAAGATCGATCACCATGGCTTGGCTGTCATTGTTTTTGTTTCCCTTGTTATTGACAGGGCTCTCAGCACAGCCGCCGGGAGTGATGGTAGCAGCCATTTCCGATGCAACAGTGCTAGAAATAGTGCCATCAGCTGCGTTTCTACTTTGTGGAGAGTCAGTCACCATCGTCGTGGTGGTCGTCGTCTTTTTGTGGGGTGGGGGACCAAGAGAAGAATCGCCGCTATCATCGCCATTCAAAACGACATCCCTGCTTCTTTCTGTCATTACTGACGTTTTATTAGCTTGAGGATTATCGTGTTCTTCTAATTGCCTCTTCCGGTCGTTGTTCGTGTTATTTTGATTATGTGTGGAAGGCGATAGTTTTTCTGATGTTGATACAGATGCCTCCAACCCTTCCACTCTTGCTTTGGCGGAAGTAGGTTTTTCTGCTGCCATAGACGCCAAAAGTTTGTCCTCGGCTGTGGCTGCCGATGCGATGGACTGGGTCAGTCTTTTTCGAGATTGGTATAGACGATGCATTTTCCTACGGTAGTGTTATTTGCTTGTGCTCTTGTAATTCATCTTTGTTTTGTCTTTGTCAGGGTGGAGAATTTTCGATCGGCGTAAAGTATCGCTAGRAAAATAATAATAGCACTACCGGTAGAGCTTCGTRCAATCTTCAGATCAGAAGGTCAGAACGCTACTTGTACGAATAGGTGTAGGGCGGCAGCATCATTCTCGTCTCCTCCTTTAGCAGAGAATGAATGTAAAGCAATGAACAAGATTTTTGGCGCGCTCTGCGCCTGGGCTTGAGTGGCAGTTGTACCGGTACGTACGGTACGCACGGTACGCACTCCAATGTGGCAGGGGTCATAAATTTAGTAGGGGTGCGCAACGCGATCACTTTTCGGAGCAGTTTTTGCAAAACTCGTACTGTATTCAATCCTTGGGGTCCTTGGCTACAGTATTCGTGCATTTTTGGAATTTTTTCTTGAGTTTCAATGATTTTTCTGTGCAGACTGCAGTATATCCTACACAAAATAAGAATGAAATACCAAAAAAAGGTTGAAACAATTATCATCTTTTCTGCTCATTCATTTCTCTCAGTTCTTCTTTTTCTGATGGGGTGGTGGTGATGATGACTGTTGTTCATATCATGGTACTACTAGCAATGCAAACTGTTCTGACAATGGTACTAGTACTAGTGGTGGTGGCCTGCACCCTCACAGTAGGAGTCCCTCCTGAGATGACAGCAGTGTTTCCAGCAGTGGTGATACTACTAGTAGTAACAGTTCTCTTGTTGGAAGAAGTCGATCTGATGCCCCTTACTACTACTACTACTAGTAGTAGTAGTACTACTACTACTACTACTACTACTAATACTAATACTAATACTACTAATACTACTAATACTAGTACACTGGGATCAAGCCAGACTGAGGAGTAGCTGTGAGTGTAGCCCTGTAGGAGAGAGTCTCAAAACTGTGCCCAGTGTTAGTGGGAGGCTACAAGGAGGCCTTCAAATGGCTCTGCGGAAGTTTCTGGCATTGTAGTCAAAAAGTGGTCATTTGTCACAGTTGCTGAGTTTTTTTGTTCCTGTAGAATTCCTACCAGAGTCTACACAGTAAGAATGTCAGAATTCAGCAAAACTGGTCAAAAACTTGACTGAACCGATGAAACCAGCAACAACAGGTGTGTGGGCAGGGACAACAACAAGAGACACAAGCCCCTTCCTTACTGTGACTGTACCAAATTCAGCACCTGTTCACAACGTCCCATGGGGGGTGTTACAGGGTGCATTTGCTTGGGATCTGGGAGAAGCTGTGGTGTGAGCTGCCTTTGCCTTGCTAAATGCAAGAATAAGCAACCAATGCTCACAGCAACACTGGAGACTGCAGCATCCGGTATTGGATCCTTCTTCCAGAGACCCATGCTCCCTCCTCAACCCACTGATGGTATCCCAGAGGGTGATGATCCAGCAACTTTTGGTCCCCCTCCAGGGGCTCCAGGACAGGCCTGATCCCCCCATAGTGCGGGGATTGCACCTGTGGAGCACAAGGACAACAACAACACCGACAATGTGAATAAGCCCAGGGGTGAATCACTAACACTGGACTCAACAACAGAAGGCACAGTGGCCATTGACCTGAGGTGGGCAAGAGGAAAATGCACCACCAATGCCTCTGCAAGGAATACACCCGCTGCTGCTGTGGATGAAATTCTTTGCAATTCCCCTGCAAGAGGTGCATTATCAGAGGATCCACTGGATAAAGGCTCAGCTTTTGATTTGGATGATGCAGAGGTTTCCAATGCAGGGGATTCTGATGCAGAGGATCCTGTGGTTTTGGCCCCAGAGGCCTCTAAAGATGAGGCTAGTGCTACTAAGGCTCCTTCTGCAGCTAATGCAGAGGATCATAATGCTCCAGGTGCACCAAACACTGCAACAGCTGGCACTGATATGAATGTTGCAGCATCTAATACAACTGAAGCAAAAGCTGCTCTTACTTCCACTTCTGCAGCTAACAGCGCTGCTAATGCAGCTAACAATGCTACTAATRCAGCTAACAATGCTACTAATGTAGCTGATAYTGTGGATGCAACAACAGCTGTGGCAGCATTGTTGCCTCCAGAGGCTTGTTGCCTGACACCTCATTCAGAGGCTCCATCCGCATCTTTGAGGCAATTGGATTTAAGGGCCCAAGTTGCTAATGCTGCTGAAGCTTCCCCAGAGGCTAATGCAAATAATGCTGTACCAGAAGCTTGCCCAGCAACGACTTTGGAGGCTCATTTGGAGGTGCAATCCACACCTCCAAGGCAATTGGATTTAAGGGCCTGTGCTAAGTGCTGGGGCAAACAACAGCGTCTGAAGAGAAGGAATTAAACCCCTTGTTATCATCCAGAGGCTGAAAACAGGACTGTGGAAGAAGTTCAGGTGATAAATGCAGAAAGAGCGACAAGGGCAACTCTTCCTCATTGCCGTGCTGAAACACCACAGCCTCCAGATTCTCCAACCCCTACTTATATCACCACTATTCAGCCAGATCTACCAGTCCCTGATGCTGAATTGGTTGGCCAATCACCATCCACCTTGGGCGGCTGCCTTCTGGGCTTTCATGGCATGCCACTTAGTGGCACTTGAYGAGCAGCCTGGCGTTCAACCTGTTGGGATTGGAGAAATCTATTGTCAACTCATCACAAAATTCATCCCCCATGTGGCAGGTGCTGCCCWTGCCCCAGACAGATGTGGGAACTTCAATTTGAACATGGGGATGCGCACCGGAATTGAAGGTGCCGCACATGCCATCAGGGAAGCACAAACCTTAGCCCMAGCCTGGCCATCACCCCACTGCTACCAACCAGACGCACAGCCAGACAGACTACCAAGGAGGGRCAATTCCACAGCAACMCAATCCAAATTTCCACGGAATGCCCTGCACCCCCACAACCCAGATGACCAAGACAGCACCCTCCTTGTTGATGCCCACAATGGATTCAACGAGCTCAGTTGAAATGCCCTTTTTTGGACCATACACCATCTCTGGCCTGTGGGATCTCAGTTCTGCTTCAATTTTTACCACCATTTTGCCCAGCTGATTCTCAGGGGCAAATCATCCACAGATCCCTGTTTAGTTCTGCTTTCCTGCAAGGGTGTCATCCAGGGCAATCCACTCTCAATGATCCTTTATGGGCTGGCCCTGGTTCCACTTGCAAAAACTCTTTGAGCTGCATTYACAGATGTGGTCCAACCCTAGTATGCTGATGATGCTGCCATACATGGAAGAGTTTCAGAAATTGCTGGTACCATGTGGCTGCTCCTCCAGCTGGGACTGGAACRGGGCTATTTTCCAGAGCCAACAAAAAACATTTTTGTTGGCCCCACCCCCGCCAACTGCCCCAGATTGAGCGACATCCTCCAGAAATTCAATTTTAACTTCCAAGACAGCCACTGTTACATTGGGGGCTTCATAAGCACCAATGCAGCCAAGGCAGAGTGGCTCCAGCCCCAGATCAACAAATGGGTCCAAAGCATACCCATTTTTGCTGGAGCCGCCTGTCAATACCTGCAGGCAGCTTTTGCAGGTTTGACTAAGTCTTTGTAATCAGAATGGACCTATCGGCAATGGGTTGTCCCAGATGTCCCAGAGGCTTTTGCACCAGTGGAACAGGACCCAGAAGAGGATTTTTTGCCCGCCTTGCTTGGTGACACCATCAAAACCACTGCCAATCTATGAGATTTGCTGGCTTTCCCACCAGTGAAATTCTCAGGCCTCAGCGTTCATGATCCCCAGGCCACTGCCCGCTCATTTTGGTGTGTCCATTGGAGCCACCAGAGACTTTATTGCCTCCCTACAAAATTCTGAAGCCGTTGATGGACAAACTTTTTGTAAGGATGTTCAGCGGAGACTGCAAAAAGTAGTGGCTGGCGTCCCTCCAGGCCTCCCTTGGCGCCCTGCTTCTGATCCAGTCTTGCAAAGTGCGCTGCTACATCAGAAGGGGCCAGCCAGTAGTGCCTGGCTAACAGCCAAACCCAATGACCTCAATGGGACAGTGTTGTCAGCCGAAGAATTTTGGGACAACCTCAGTTACTAGATGGGTATCAGCTGGAACCATTGTCCAGACAAATGAGAGGGTTAGTTCACACACATCAGAAGATTTCCCATTTCCAAAGGTATCTAATGGCGCAATTGGAAAGGTGGAACCAGGATGGATGCAGTTTCTTACCATGTGGTCAATGACTGGACCAAGCAATTCTAAATATGTTATGCAGGTATAGCAAAGAGCATTGGATTAACTTCAACCATCAGGTGTAGTGATGTGTTATAAATGAATGGTATGATTTGTAGATATTAAAATATTCATAATGTATTTCAGTTTAATTAGAGGGATGTATTCAGTACAGTAGTGTAGYAGTAGTACTAGTAGTAGCAGAGATAGAATTAACTTTTTGGTAAATTTTGCAGGTGGTAACTTTTGGCAAGACATGATGGGAAAAAGAAGTTAACCCATTGCTTTGTTTCGCAAATTACCAAAAACTCATTTCGTTGCACAGATTCAAATCATGCCATTGAATAACAGTCAAAACCAATGCTACCACACAGTACCACTACCAAACAGTCATAAATCCAACAAGAAAGCAACAACCAAAAAGACCAAGCACCACCATGGTACTAGTAGGACTACTAATGTTGATACAGGAGATGCTGATACAGACACTAGTAGTGCTACAGAATGCTGGGTGATATGGAATGCTGATACAGAATAATTCTGATATGGAATAATGGTGACACAGAACAATAAAGCTGGTGATATGCAACACTGATACAGAACACCAATGCAGAGGATGGTGATAGTAAGAATGCAAAGGAGACTAACGCTGCAGAGGACCACACTACTAATGCAGAGTAGTAGTGCTGATGTGGAGGRTACTGATGTGTGACACTGATTCAGAGGACAATGATACAGATGATGCTGATGCAGAGGACAATGATACGGATGATGCTGATGTGGAGGACAATGATACAATACAAGTTGCTTGATGGCTACTGATACAGCCAACACTCAATCCAGAGAACACTGATGAGGACTGCTGATGAGGAATGCTGATGCGGAATGCTGATGCGGAATGCTGATGCGGAATGCTGATGCGGAATGCTGATGCGGAATGCTGATGCGGAATGCTGACGGGGATGATGATCTACCACAGAATGCTAATATACCAAACACCTCTTTTGAACAAGAATGACCTTCATACTAAGACGATTCCTGATGCTCATGGTAATTATTGTCTTAAAGCTACTCAATCATGACCATCTTTTTGCATTTTGTTAAAGCTTGAGTACTTTCATATCTAGCATGCCAAAAATTCTCGTTTCAAATACTAGCTTTAAATTTTTGAAATACCATACACTGAAAACTCTCCTTTACAAAACTATGTGGAATTGATGAATACGGCCCAAAACGAAGCAAAGAAGAAATTGGCCACACATTAAGGATATTTTACCCGTAATGGTGCAACTTAGATACATAGTTTGGGACAGAGTATTAACGAAATACCGTTCAGCTGGTAGGTGAAGTAGCCCCGCTTTGGTGTAAAACCATAAGAAATTTCGCGGTATGAATCTAATTCTAGTATTTATCTGCTGTGTACAGTGATGGTGTTGTGATGAAAAGCTTTCGAAACCTCAAATAGTTACTTCTCATCCAAACCAGCAAACGTACTCCATCCATTTTACGGTTGCCTATGGTTTCGTTGCTGAGTACTGTTGTTATTGTTGGTATCAGAGACTCCATCATTTGGTGGTGGTGCTGTGCTGCTGTTGGTGTTATTCAAGACAGGGGGAGCTGCAGTCATACCTGTGTTCGGACTCATCGCCGGAATATTGATACCAACGGGATGTAGTCCGGGAATCACCGGCATCCCCGCAGCCACATCCACGATTCCAGGAATGGCCTGACCCTGAGATGTCAGTCCCACTGGAGGCAACCCAGTCGGAGCTATGCCCTGTAGCTGTGCTGCCCCAGAAGCGGACAATCTCTGGACTTGCCCGGTCATCATCCCTGGTATAGGCGCTATTCCGGGGACTTGGCTCGGCATATGGATTCCAGCTCCTGGGTTCGACGCTGGAACAAGAATTTGTGTACCATCTGCAGCTGGTACGAGATAATACCCACCGCCTGGAGTGCCACTAAGTCCAAAATGCTGTACCTGTRATGCTGGTGCAGGAGTCGAATGGGCGGTGAATTGTTGGCCTGAACTCAATGAGGTACTAGGATTTCCTTGAAGACTTATCATCCCAGCAGTCGTGGTCGCAGGAGTTCCTGTGAGGCCGAATTGTTGCGTGTTCACTGCAGCAGCCACCGTGGTAGGGGCACTCGCGAGGTTGAACTGATGCGTACCTATTCCAGCAGCTGAATAATATGCTCGAAGTTGTTCHTGCTGTATGGCTAATGCTGCTTGCTGCTGTTGCAAAATCAGTTGCTGCTGTTGAAATTGATGTTGCATTGCAGCAAGTTGTTGTTGGTAAGCTTTTTGGGCATCGAAAGCTTCCAATTTCTGCGTTGCATCTACGCTTGGATTGAAGCTAGATTGAGTATCACTGTCTTTCTGGGAATGTTCACCATTTATACCTTCGCCAACAGACTTGGCACTTGTTGCTGACTTGGGTCGCTTAGGGATGGTGTCATCTTTGATTTCCATCGGCGGATCAGCTCTTATTTCCAACTCAGCTTTGACCACCATTGATGGGACAGCATCTATTCCACTCTCTTGACTCGATGCGTAAACAACCTGCTGATGAAGCGAGCCAATCACAGTAGGCACAGTTGTAGAAACTGCAGGAACCGCATCTCCCTCTCCAAACGAACGGCTCGTCCTGGGATTACTAGCTGCACCAACCCTTCGCTGTTGCGCCCCGGAATAAAGAACTCGATGCGAACCAAATGATCCAACCTGACTAATTTGGATGTTGCCTTGGTAATTTGACCGGCTATTATTCCCCGAACTTATGGATGTGGTTGATGTAGTAGCTGTTGTTACAGAATCTCCCATTGGAACTACTCCCGGTCGGCGCAATGCTAGAGCAAAATCAGCTTCGTTGAAAGACTCGGGCAGTGCTATACAATTTCCCGCTTCTGAAAAACTCTGAGGGCCACCCGAAAAGGAAGAACCGTACCTAAGAAGTTGAATTCCTTGATCAATTCCGAATTGTGACATGCTTGACGACATATGGGTGCATTCTTGATAAGAACCTTGATACGAGCCTTGGCGCATGGGACGTGCTACTGCGTTGATTGCTTCATCAATGTGATCAGTCACAGTGGAGGTTTGATCTGTTGAGGTATTATTCTTCGATAACGCATTACGTACGGTCGGCATTCCATCTTGATTTGGTGGGCTCTCGGACCGAGAGCGACTGTAGCTGCGATTATAGCCACGCCTGGCTGCTTGCTGTTTCTCTCGTGTTTTTTGAACACTTCGTAGTTTTCTTTGATAAATGGTTGGATCAGAAGGTGCCTCCCAATACATGTTCAATAATCTATTTGCGTGGTTTTGATCTTTGATATCGGCAGGATCTACATTCTCCCTCATCATAGCTCCTGTAAAAAAGGGATGACTGATCACTTGATATGCCGTCCATCTCTTCCACGGATCTGGATCTAGTATACCTGTAAATGCGTAACGTAAACAAATTCAAGTCAATAAGTTTGATTTTACATCCAAAGTGATGTATCAAACTTCAGAAACGGTAACACAACACAGCAATATCCTCTCTTTACGTACCATAGAGGAAATGAATAAAATTTTTCAACAAGCGCAACTCTTCTGGCTTTCCACTTTGCCCTTTGTGAAGAATTATGTCCGAAAGCAATTTGCGTTTGAAATATCGATTCCCAGGCTGTTTTTCGAGCTTCACAAGTCCACCTTTCTTTTTTATTTCGCTCTGTGTTAGCGATGCAATATATTCATGCTGTGTTTTCACTTTCCACTGCGGCAGTGGACGGGGTCCTTCGGATGTCGATCGACCCGATGTCCTTCCATTTCTTTCGAACGGATCTTCTGGGCTGACACTGGAAGATTGAACAGGTGGAGTATGTGCCGAAGTCACTCCTGGCAAATGCTTCAAATAGTATTTGGAGGATTTGGTTCCTTGATCGAGCATCCAATCTGGTGTTTCACCAATCATTTCACTGATTCGTACCAATTGGTCGTGTTCATGGACACCTGGTAAAATTGGTAGGCCCAAAAAAAGTTCGGCTGCCACACATCCCAGGGACCACATGTCGATGGCAGAATCGTAGGCCAGGCCAAGGATCACTTCGGGGCTGCGGTAGAACCGTGACTGAATATAGGTGTGTGACATCTGTCCTTCAAAACAGGCCGATCCGAAATCGATCAATTTGATCCTTTCATTGTGCACGTCGTTTGTCGCGATTGTAGAATCCATCGGAGATTTAGTTCGAACATTCATTTTATCTTCGGGTGAAGCCCTTGTGTTTGTAGACACYGTGGTTTCTGTGCGCTGTTCCTGATCTTTGTAACGATTTGTCGTATTATCTGTCTCATTTGTGCTTTTGCTATTGTCACTTGCCTCGCCATTATTTTTTTCACTACTATTTGCATCATTTTCGGCTTTCTCTGTGTCGTTACCGCCGGCAGCAAATTTGTGCAAATGATTTTGTTCTTTCTTATCCAGGGAGGTTGAGGACAGGGCAGAGATTAATCGCTTGCTATCTCCCGCACTCATGACCGAATCTTCGTCATTCTCATCAACCAATAGAATATTTTCAGGTTTTAAGTCACAGTGGACAATTGACTTTCGTGCAAGTGCTTTGCAACCCATGACCACTTGCCTAACCAGATTTTGGGTAACGCTAAGCKGCAAACCGCGGAATTGCCGCCTTTTTAGAACTTCATATAGATTCTGCCCCAATAATTCAAAGGCTAGACACAAGTGATCTTTGTACATAAAGTAGCAGACGAGGTCTATCATGTAATCCGTCGAGGAGGCTTTTTTTGACTTGTGCTGCAAAGGCCCTTCTGTGCTTCCAGTCTTCTTGTTGTGGTTGGGGTTAGTTTCGTTTGCAACTCGAATCACATCGATTTCTACGGCAGCCTGTCGAGTATATGCCGGCTTGTTTTTGATAATTTTCAATGCAACCAGYTGACCTGTTTGGGTATGCAAGCACTTAAAGACTTGGGCAAACGTTCCTTGCCCCAACAAGGATTGGATRCGGAAATCAGATGACTTGTGTCCCCTCGGTATCTTGCCTTTCGTGAGAACATGAACCTGTTTTTTCGGCACAGATATGTTGTCATTCTCATAGACAATCAGATTCCCCTCAGAATTGTCGCAGTTATTGTCATTTGAGACGCCTTCGGAAGGCTGTGTGAGACACTTGCCCCGGGGTGGTAAAGTACCAAATGAACGAATTGAATTTCGTGTTCCCATAGAGGAACGTGTGGCGATAGACGAAGAGGCTCTACTTTGATTCTCGGACCGGGTGCTTCCACCGGTACCCCCGCTTCCGCGTGGATTCTTGCTATGAGTGGCCGTGCTAGAATTCTGCGAGGCGGACTCTATAACAGCCGAGAGAGAACCATGCTGCTTCTTTGAAGAGGCAGATATTATGGTATTGTGGCTGGGGTCGTGATTGCTGCTGTTACCAACAAGAGACATCTGGGCAAAAGATCTTTGATGCGGAGACATGGCAAAATTATCCGACTTGTTATGGTTATTGATTCGATTGTGCGGCTTTGTAGAAGCCCTTATGTTGGATTCGTTGCTCTTTCGTCGCCTTCGTTGGTGTATCCTGGAATGTTCTGCGTACCAAATTCGATAAAGACCATTGGCCTTAATAGTCACGTTGCGTAGAAGATTTCTATCGCTTTTGAGATTTCCACTCCCTTGGCTGCTACTGTTGAGTTTTTCCCGATCTCGGATTGCGTCTTGTAGAGCCTCACCAAAAGGTTTGAACGAGGAGGAAGGTGACCGAAACTCAATGCACTTTGGAGGGACTACAATTCTGGAAGAGGATCGTGAGAACTCAGTGCTSTTTTGGCCATGAGCGCTCCAGCTGAGGCGCTGGCCGAGTCTTTGATAGGCATCGTCTTTATCAAGAGATTGATGTGATCCACTGATAGAACCCAATATGTTCGAATAGTGGCTACTCTGGTCTTTACTATTGTAACTTGAGTTGAATTGATGTTGTTGTACCTGGTGATGAGATGAAGAGTTCTGGGAGCCACTGTTGTAACTGTTCCCACGATAGCTATATGGATCTTGCTGGTACTGCTGCTGCAGCGGCGGCGGTTGCTGGGGTATTCTCATGTTTGCGTCACCGCTATAATATTGAATATAATGTGCTTGTTGTGGATGCCTCTGTTGAGGTTGAAGCTCTTGGTGATACCTCTGATATATCTGTTGCTGATCACGATGTGCATGCCAAGGCTGCTGCTGTTGTCTATCGGCATGGTGCTGTTGTTCATGSTGATAGCGGGTGTGCTGCATCAAAGGATCCTGACTGCCCTGGACGGCTTCGTCACTTGCTTCGCCGCTCCTCGTGCTGCGACTGCTCTTGCCGCTGGTGCTGCTTCCACTATTTCGACTCCGGCTACGATTGATGATACTTCCGTTGTTCGCGCTTCCGGCTGGTGCTCCGCTCATGGCGGATGAGCTCCGTATTATACCATTCGTGCGATAGTATTCTTCTCTGTTCCGTTGCTGCTGCTGGTTCTGTTGGTGAACCAGAGCGTGGTTCCGCAACGAGTTTTCCATCTTAAAGTATTGCTTGCTACTACTACTACTTCTCCCACTTCCGAATGGATTTTTCGAATGGAATATTAGGGTACTTTATCACTGCCGACGTGCGTACCTATCCATTGCAACTTTCGAGGAGAGTATTAAAGTATCTTCTATCGAAAAAGGACAGCAGTGCACATGTCTGGTAACCGCAGGTCTGGGTGAATCGTGTGTATCGTGCGAATATCCTCAAGTTTTTAGTTGGTCGTTTCCCGAGGGTAGTTGCAAATGGCAATTAGGATCCCTACCCTGCGATCAAGAAAGAAACTAATCRACCAATGAGTCACAAAGCTTCTGCTTTCGCACCCGCTATCCCAAAGATCAAGTGTGTATCTTTCTCTTTGACAGAACGTACGAAGTATCGCAATCTGAGACAGTAAGAACTAGGAAATTGAGAAGGAAACCTCTATGATTTGCTTGCTGTACCGTTTGGTCTTCCGGCGATAAGAGCACAATTTTAAACAAATCTTGTTGCACAAACTTTGCCTCGCCTCTACCGTATTCGGTTTCACTGCTGTTGTTCCTACTTTTTGCCTTCAATAGTTACTTAACGAATGTCTTATATTGGTTCTCGGCTCTGATGGCATGGCAAAGACGTTAAGATCATGTCGTTTTCGCCTATTTCTCTTTCGTCTTCTTACTTTTTCAACAACAGAAAAACTCACCCGATGTTTTTCTATCTCAGTTTTGCAGATGGGCAGCTGAGATTCGAGCAGATTGCTGATGGAACAGTCGTGATCTACCAGCGACCTCAGAAATATTTATACTGTTGTAGGTCAGATGCAATTGAGCACAGGGACCCATTGTTTCTTAGAAGTAGTGACGAAGACGTTAGCAATAATTATTGGAATTTCTCAAATTGTATGTGCTTCGTCATTTTTTGCTAGAGAAGAGCATTACTTTAAACAGAAAAGCGAGGTGCTGCGTACTTCTTGTAGAAACAACGACACGTAACGATTAGTTTTCTTTGCACCCTGTAGGGCAGATGCTCTTCTTCATCCAATAGCTCTATTTATTCCTAATATGATTGGTTGAAAAGCAGCTGCTTGTCTTCTGCTATGTAATATTTCTGAATTGCCCTGGTCCTGAGGAACCGAGAACAATTGAAGATCTCGAGTTCTCAAAATTCGTTTGAGAATCATACGGTACGTACTCGTAGAAACCGGTACAAAACAATATGGTACGGTACATCGTACATTCCAACTGTAACACGAAAAATCATACCGTACCGACCGAACACCAAACACTACAGTACAATAAATACTAAATACGGTATTTTTTGAAATGAGACCTCATTGCATGAATCATAGGGCAAAATGGATAGTACAAGCAGGCTAGTACTAGTACAGAACGAGGTACAGTAAGGTGTAACGACCCTACAAGGTTCTACACAAAAAATAGACACAACCTGCACTCACCAAACAAGAAATTCACCTTAACACCATGACCATGCTGGGAATCACAAGAATATCTTCACAAGAACAAGAAGGGTAGTACTACTGTTGCGAAGCACTCACTCTTCTCCTTCTTAGTACTAAGAAGRTTGCAAAATATCATTCTTCTAATGGTAGAAGAACTCTTATTTTAGTAACTACTAGTAGTAGTACTAGTACCACTAGTACTACTAGTAGTACTGATCCTCTAGTAGTACTACTAGCAGTAGTACTAAGAAATAGTAGGGCGGAAACGCCAGTACCACCAGCTTACTACTACTAGTAATACTACTAGTACTAGTATATCCAAGAACTGTTTCTTGACCCAACTCAAGGTTGTATATTTTTGTATTCCATACCTATCTGTACCACAATTTTGTTAGTGAAAATAACACAGTATGTTGGATTCCCAACCTGACTCACTCCTACCTTCATTTTAGATTATATTTTTCAGAAAAATTTCTGTAGGTGGTCACTGGAAATAATTTCAATAACGGAATATTCAGCTTGCTTGTTGTTTCATTTTTTGCTCAGTTTGTGACTACTTCTTGAACAAGTAGTTTCAGTTTTGAAATCTTAAGTTGTTTGACTGGTGGAATAAATAGTTCCTTCTCAGATTCTCCAGGGTTGTTGTGCAATGGGAAAAATGGTTTTTATTTTCTGCAATTAAAATCATAGAATCCAATACTGAACCAATATGATTCTCTGATTTTTTACATGGAATATGTTTACTTCACTATGATATTACTGCTACCAATACTAGGGAAAGCCATCATTACCACCACACATTCTAGACCCCTTCAAAATGAAGGAGGTTCCCCTTTTGATACTGCTCCAACTTTTCTTGAATAGAAGGACAAATGAAATCATCATAATCGTTGTCATCATCCAATACACCTCCCTCGCTGCCATTAGGATTTCCCACTGATATGCCTTTGCTTCAAGTAGAAGCCTTTCCTTGAGTTTATCTTCAACAGAGTCCTTTCCCTTTTCTGGGCAACGGCATAGTGATTCAGCCTTTTGGCACAAATAGCTACAACCTCCCAGGCCCACATCTACTGTACCATCATCATTGTCTTTAACCAGTGCAATCGTCTGTGGAAAACCATCTGGTATAATACCACCCTTGGTGTAATCATCTATAAATAGGTTTAAGAAAAGCCAAGCAGAAGAACACAAACAAGCAGTTAGGGGGAGTGCTGCATTGGTTTCCGAGATTGCCCAGCATTATGTCACAGCATTCTTGATCTTACTTAGATACTTCTTCCTTGCATAATTTTGGATATTTCCACAGAGTGGGAGTGTTGTTAAGGATCTTGGAATTTGGCCTTCCAACCACCACCATCTAAAATCAGTTTTAGACATCTCCTTCCACTGGTGGGCARCAGAATTTTGATCTATAATGTCCTGGACAATCATTGGGATGACTTTGTCATTTGGAAACTTGAGGCTTGTTGCATACCAACTATTCCTCACATGCACCAACACCACCTGTGTAGACATCTCACCCTTCAGTGCTTCAGTGAGTTCTGTGCTAAACCTCTTTCTGGATTGGTGCCTGCTGTTGGCAGAGACATGGCTGGTAGTGCCAGTCGTGTGTGGAGTTATAGTACTGATGTTTTCAATTGGAAGTCTCTGGAAAGATTTTTGTCTCTCATGTACTGATGGTACAAGGTTGTGGTGTGATATATTGCATGACAGGCATTTTCCAGTACTATTTCTACACACCAGGCCTACACAAAGAACATAGCGATATATAACACCCTCACCTTCAACCTGTCTCAAAATAAAAAAGAAACTATTTTATATCCAAATATTGTATCAGAATACCACTGATACTATGGAGGACGCTGCTCACTGATACAGTGTCCGCTGATACAGTGTTTGCTGATACAAGTCACTGATACAGAGACTCACTGATAAGGAGGTTTGCTGATACAGAGGCTCACTGATACAGAGGATGCTGATACGGAGGATGCTGATACAAGTTGCTGATACGAGTTGCTGATACAAGTCACTGATACAAGTCGCTGATACAAGTTGCTGTTACAGAGGATGGTGATACAGAGGCTTGCTGATCCAGAGATGCTGATACCAGTCACTGATAAGAAGGCTTGCTAAATACGGAGGCTCCCTGATACAGAGGCTCTTTAGCCACGAGGATTTCGATGCTTGTTGAATACAGCTCTTTTCTTCTAAACCACTCAGCCAATCAATGCAAGACTTCCAGAACCCCTTTTCCTTGTTATAATGAAGAGATTCTGTATATCAATTGCATTGTTAAAGGAGGTTAAGGTGTTGAACTGGAGGAGTGGCAGGTYCTATGATGACGAGGTGGTTGTGTTACTAATGAGTTTTTTTCTAATTTCTTTCTGTGCGCAGAGAAATCAACAAGCCGGAAATGGTTCTCTTCAAAATTTATATGCCAATATGCACATGTATGGAACGACAAGAGAAAACCCTTTCTGACTCATGGATTCTTGAATTCTGATTGGTGCTTGCCTAGACTTAACAAGCAAGCAAAGCTGCTGTTGTTCATTAAAAATGGCTCGTAAAATTGTGACTCATAACCTGTTCTAAATCGGACGCGATATATCACACCAATCACGCCAAAACCTCGTACTTGGGTACGTACGAGTACCTTACGAACTTGATTGACGAACGATCCATCATGTCATTATTTTTCAATTTTCACCCGAACATACGGTAGTACGAAAAGGTGAAAAGAAAGGGCCATCACAAAAGAAAACATCGAAGGACCAACTGAAACAGCTTCTGAAACTGTACAGTACCAGGTACCGTGCGGGTTAGAGTTCTCAACGTTTCGCTTCACACATTACAGATTTTGAATACTCGACGCACCACTAAAGTTCATAGTGGTAGATACTATTAATACGACAAGATGATCTTYCTATCAAAATACTTCCTTGTCGTCATGATCGCGGGAAGCAATTTCGCATCATGTTCCCTTGCCTGGTCGCCCTCCCAAGTGATTTCCCCTACAAATAACATAAATTGCAGAAGAACACGCAGCATGTACCAACCCCACCGATGCACTGAAGGGGTGCATGTATGGCTTTTGTCTTCAATGGCGGACGAAGATGGAGTGTCGTCATCAAAATGTATCAGCATTAGCGAAAAAAATAATAGGAACCGGCGCGATGTCCTGTGCCAAGCTTGCATCGCTGCAACTTGCATATCAATCGCTTTTGTTTTCTCTCCAAAGCCTGCCGTAGCCGACGTGACGAACAAGATCGCAAGCTCAACTGCTCTTCGAGCCTTGAAGCGAGCTCAAGATCAGCTGCCCACTAAGTTGCTGCCCGAKGCTCAGGCCAACAACTTTGTGGGAATTAAGGCCCGCCTCCGGGAGGCCCCCTTTGACGAATTCCGCAAGAATGCTCTAATTTTGGTACGTGGGGGAGAAGACGGTCCCAAGGCCTCTGAGTTGCTTCGAGCTTATAAGAAGCTGATTGCGTCTCTCGAAGCCATCGATGCAACGGCCTCGCTAGGGATGAAGGGGCGGAAAGTCGACCCCTTTCAACTGGGTCTGCAATACGAGGATGTTGCTAAGGCCCTGAATTCTTTTTTGGAGGTAGGAGCCGCAGCCTATGCCATCCCCCTTCAGGAGGCCCCGTCGATGCAGGAGAGCCTTCGGTATGGGAGTATTGACACCAAGGTATTGAAAAGTGAATAGCTATTTAGTAGTCAGGCAGGTAGATAAACAAAAACTTGGAGTATTTTGTCTGAAGTTAGGTGCATCGGGTCGCAAAGCATCCAACTACCAAATTGATAAATAAGGTATTAAAAAAAAAAGCCAATTAGATCCTTGTCTAGCAGAGAAGATTTGATGAAACAAATAGTGTAGTAATGTTGCGTGACACCTTGAATTAGAATTGGACAAATWWTGTGCAGTAGTACTAGTAGATAGCTCACAACAACAACAGCCTGAGCCAACAGACTATTACTCAGAACATTCCTGCTAGCATGTTGTTKTTGTTGGTTCTGTTTTCAGGAATAAAGCATTACCAACTGCTATTGTTGCTTACTCRTCTCTTTCAATAAGCCAGTAAGAAGATACCTAGCTAGATTTCATGGACTGAAAGCAGACCAAAAAATTATTTACTAGCTACATGTGGCTCTAAATTTAGCATATTTGGAATTTTAAATTAATGTCCCAAATGTTAATTTAACATTCCAAATGTCAACACTATACCTGTKTAGAAATGAATACTGGGGTGTTGCTTGAATGTAATGTGACTTCACATTTTACTTACTACTAGTAGTACCTGTAAAATAACAATTGAACTTTCTTTAAATAACAAGGTATTGCTGGGAATGTTTAAAGTAATGTTCTGAATGTTGTTATAATGTAAGGAATGTTAATTTAACATTCATAATTTTACTATATTACTGTAGTAGAGCCTTGTAGATCCAAGTATCCCCATTCCTCAATGTGGTAGTGCGCTATCTTCCTAAAACAATTATGTGGGTTGTGCACATACCTTAAACATGAGGAAGAATGATGGCCTTGCCTGTGCAGCCTGCCAACATTTTGAATGTTTATGTATGCTAAATTCAAGCGAAAACTGCAGTATTCATTTCTATGCAGGCTTATGGAGTTAATAAATGTACTGTGCATTAATTTTAAAGCTCCATTGTTATTTTACGCATGGTAACATTCCAAATGTTAACAGAGGAGGATGCCCTTCTTCCTCTTTTTAGACCCMTTCTTCTCACTTTTTTAAGACATGCGACCCAAATAGTAATTGTTTTGGGAAGGTACTAGTAGTAGTGCACTACTACTAGTACTACTACATCGAAGAGGAATTCCAAATGTTAGAATTTAAGTTCCCAATATTACTACTAACTTAACATTCCTGATGTTAGCAGCACAGTAGGCTTTTCTTCTTGTACTAGTAGAAATGACTACTACTGCAGTTTCTTCTTGCTGCTTCTTGAATTTACATTGAGGAGGAAGAATGCTCTAGTASTACTAGTACTACTAGTAGTAACTACTACTTGTAAATATTCTGAATGTTAGCAGGGTAGGCGTCCTCTTCCTCTTCTTTTATAGTACTAGGAAACAAGATCAAAATTATTGGTTTTTGATGCTAGCGCACTACCACCAAATGAAGAATTGGTATTATCAGGATCTCTGTAGGCCTACAGTCATACTACAGTACTATGTACAAGTACTTACTACTAACATTCCAAACGTGGAGTCTGACATTGGGAACGTTAAGTTTACATTGGGTGATTCCCGTTATTCTAAAACTCTAACGCTCTAAAGTTAGAGTTTTAGAATAACGGGAATCAGAATAACAACGGACAGACTGAG